GATTTCTAAGTGTTTTTCTTGTTCACATATGGAGCTAAGGCATCAAACTGCTTTTGAATCTCTTTGTTTCACTCATATGTGGCAGACAGAACAATGGTCCCCCAAAGATGTCCATGTCCTAATTCCCAGGACCTGTGACCAAGTTGTGGTAAAAGGGACTTTGCAGAAGTGCTTCCATTAAGGATTCTGAGATGGGGAGATTATCCTGGATTACCAGGGTGGGTCCAATATAAACACAAAGCCCTTTAAAGGGAAAGAAAGATCCTTATATAAGCCAGAGGCAGAGAGAGATCTGAAGGTGCTACGCTGCGGGCTTTAGAGATGGAGGAAGAGGCCACAGCCCCGGGCTGCAGGCGGCCTCTAGAAACTGTAAAAGGCAAGAACATGGCCTGTCCCCTGGACACCCCATGAAGGAATGCAGCTCTGATGACACTCGACTTCAGCCCAGGGAGAAGCATCGTGAACCTCTGCCCAACAGAACTGTAAAATACGGCATGTGTGTTGGGTGCGGCAGGCTGCCACTGGACCCTCTTTCCCCATAATTCTTCGTGTCCCCACTGTGTCCTGAGCCTCAGTTTTATACTGTCCCTCCTCTCCCCCTCCAGGTAGACACGACCCACCCATTTCTGTGACATGTACCATGGCCCTCATTGGGAGTCACATTCCCCTCTTCGCCACAGTCCTATCTGGTCCTTCGACACCATCGATGGAGGCTACCAAGTGCATGACACATCTTCTCTTCCTCCCTACATCTCACCTGCCAATTGGACAGCTGTGCCCCAGCATCCAGGCCCCAGGTCCACGGTTTCTGACTCAGAATTTCAGAGTCACTAGAATCACTTGCCAGGTTTCCCTAAACTACTGTGGGGTCCCACGTGATTTAAAGAGAAGGCAGTTTGAACGTTGGAAGGCTCGCAGGGATGTTTGCTGTTTTTCTCCAGGAAGATCACCCCCTTTGATGTGCCCTGTCATTTATATATGACAACCTCTGTTTTCATCAATGGTGAGTCACTCACCATCAAGCCAAGCCTCATCCTCCAGGGCAGTGACGGAAGCCCCTACACTTATTGGCACTTATGTGCGCTTCTAAGTGTTCCCTTGGCTGGGAGCTGCGTTTGCCTCTCCAGGAGTTCGTGCTTGTCCATAACAGTCGCAGGGAGTGTCCCACGTAACACGGGAGGCAGGTCTCCCTGTCTTTCTTCTCCATACCAGTGTCACAACCTCCAACCTCCCAACACTGGCTCAGAGCCTCTCCCCTAGGCCCCTAGCACAGACCCTCCAGGGTCCACAGTCCCTGGGTCTCTTAAAGCTTTNTGGGAGGGGTGCTAACTACTCCTTCTGAAGCTCTTTTAACCAATTTTCATATATCTAGCATCCTTAATTTCCAGAGATACCTGGTATGTTCAGCTCCTGGTCCTTTCTGAGGTCGCCCTGAGCATCTGCGGTTCTGTGGTGTGAAGTCGCTGACTCCTTGGCTCCAGCCCAGACCAACAGGCCTGCCTGTTCCAGTCCTCTCTGTTGGTACTGCTCCCCTTTGTAAACCCATTAACCTCTCTTAAGTGCTGCCACCCTTCTACACTTGTGAGCTTACGCCTTTTAAGAGACTCCTTTACTGACCACTGACGCAAAACCCTTTTCAAAACTTCATCACATCAATTCCAGCAACTCCTAAATGTTCCTCCATGACCAGGTTAGTTTTATTTGAAAAGCAAGGTTTAACATCTGCAAATCGCATTTGCATACTCTCCCCAGGGACGAGGGGGGGGGGAACGGACCCAGTAAGGACAATTGCTTCTTGTTATTCATGTTCCTTAAGTTCTTTTTTTTATTTAACTTTTTAATGAAATTTATTGGGGTGACATTAGTTAATAAAATTGTATAAGTTTCAAGTGTACAATTCTATAATACATCATCTATATATTGCATTGTGTTCACCACACAAACTCAAATCTTCGTTCGTCACTGTGTATTTGATCCCTTTTACCCTCTTCTACCACCCTCCTCCCCCCTTACCCTCTGGTAACCACTAAACTGCTGTCTGTGTCTATGAGTTTTTGCTTGTTTGTTTGTCTTCTTGGTTTGTTGCTTAAGTTCTAAAGGTTGCTGGGAACAATGACAGGATGACTGCGGAATCACTTCTCCTAGGGGAAATTCGAGTAGATACACCTGTACGTATCTCACATAGATTGCAATCTTAAATCCTAAAACAACCCATCCAGGTAGTCTACTTTCTCTACTTTACAAAAGAGAAAACGGGTTCAGAAGCGTTATGTGAATTTCCTGAGCTCGCTGTGCTAACAGAGGCCAGAGTTGGGGTTCAAACCATCAACTGGCCCCAGAGCTGGAGTTTCCCGCCCTACCCTGTGCTGCCCCCGCACCCCCAGTCCCTGGTCACCTCTATGTGAGGGCGAACATGAAGGCGGCAGAGCGTTGCCTCGGCCGGCTCAGCTGGGATNTTTTCTTAGAGAGATGCTCTTATCCTCGTTCCCTGATAACATGAAGGTAACTGCTCTGTACTGAGCTGCACACAGGTCACTCTCCCAAGGCCAGGGTTCCCACCCTCAGAGTGACTGACGCTCCAACGAGCACCGCTGTGATCTGTCCCGCCTGCCATTTGCTTTATGATCTTACCGTGACGTCCTGGAACTGGAGCCGCATGGCAGAGCCAGACGGCTGAGGCCGACTGGTGATCTCCAGTATGGTCCTCAGCAGGATGTCGAGCAGACTGGCCACTATCACATCTATTTCCTCCAACACGGATTTTTCCTTAAGAGAAAAAAAAAGAATGTGTTCAGGAAGCTGTGCCTTCAGACGTATATTAAGCTCTCTTTAACGGAAAGTGCACGTTTCGAAATAGAGCATTGAGGAGTCAGAGAACTCGAGCACTTTGACACACCTGGACCTCACCCTGGTCACCCTAGTAAATGACCTTCTTTTACAGACAACAAAGGCATGAAGAAGTGAACAGCTTACCCATGTGTCCCCAAACTGGCTGTGCAATGGCACCTGAGATGCAAGGAAAATGGCGGGGTGACGTCCTGGGAAGCACACCAGGCAAATTCAGAGCACCAGCATGACTAACACGGCACGTGACCTTGGGTACGTTAGCTTGCGCTTCGGGGCCTGACTCCTCACTGAACGTCCTGCTGGCTCTTAATGCCCATCATTATTTGATCCCAAACGGTGCCTACCATCACATCACCTGAGTTGCAGAGGTCATGTCCCCAAACGCTATTTTAAGGGCAAATGACTATTTCTATACAAATGATTTTTTATTTTCTTAAAGAAACCTACATGTAAAGGTCAGCAAAACCATTCATTCTAGGTGAATACCGTTAGCTACAGACTGGAGCTAATGTCAGTGGCCACGGTGGGGACGCTTTCCTAAAGCATGATGAACCCTTCCCCAGCCCCCAGGACTGGAGAGAGAAGTCCAGATTGCTCTGTGCTGACTCTGCGTATTCTTCTACCTGCCCTGAGATGAAGCTCTGTGTACAAATGCTCCCTATCAGGGAGACGCACTTTGCAAAGAAAACATCTGGAAAGCGTGAGTTTGAAGAGCTTTTGGACTAGAATTTTATGATAAATTTTCTTACACTTGTAAGAAAATGACCAAGGTTTCCTCCCCAGAGCAGGGTCTACTCCGAATTCAGATTAAGTCCAAACACTGACTGTAACTTCCACACTGAAACAGAACAAATAAAAAAAGTCGTTTCCACTATCACTGCTATCTGTTTGCACTTCTCTGGAGTCACTCTCTCACCATACTGTTGGGTGATGGGGACGCATATAAATCCATCATCCCTCCCACGCAAGTCTCTCTTCTTAGACTTTTGGACACAGAGCTTCTGGCCTTTTCTCTCACGTGTCACCAATGTTCCTAGAGCACTGGGGCCTTATCTCCACCTTCCGCCGCAGCCCATGCCAGCTCCCCGCCGAGCCCTTCAGATGGCGATCATCAGAGTGACAAAAATGAAGAAACCGTAGCATAGCAGTGACACAGAAGCAAAGAAACAGAAGTCTCAGCACTCGCTGTCAACCTCTGCTTTGTGGAAGCCGGGACAGGACAGCTTAACACTGGGTGAACAGCTGCAGACGGCACAGCTGGAGCAGGACAGCCTTCGCATGTGGCCTTCCCATCAGACCCCGGAGCCACAAACACCAACACCCCGAGTTGTCCCCACTTACAAGCCAGCACATGATTTTCCCCTATTTGTGCAGCAGGCTCTAAGGCAATGGGGTTGCATCCAGCGTCAAGAACTTGCCCGGATTCCCAAAGCCAGAGCAAGGTAGTGACCGTGGTTGGGGCCGAGTAATGATTGTGGTGCCCCAGGCCCCCGGGGCTGTCCTCGGCTGCCACGCTCCCCACAGGCCCGGGCCCATGCTCTGAGCATCATCACACAGCCTTTCACAGAACAGGCCCCCGAACACATCACTGCTCTGCAAGCAGCAATTTATTCTTGTCACAGAGGCTTCATCGTATCAAGATTAAAGACACATGTGGGAGGCTTTGAGCGCTTGGATTTTCCTAACTGGGGATTCAGTTCTCTCTTGAAACACGAGTTTAGGAAACCCGGGTCACTTGGGGTCACAGCAGTCCCACAAGGTTAAAAGAAATTCCTTCAGGGGAAAGGCAAGACGTCCAGGCCAGCTGGAAATAAAAGTGAGAGTCTCAGGGGTGACTCTTCAGTGTGACTTCTTGGAAGGCATGTGACAGGAGCGCCACACTGCGACCTGCATCGACTTACTGAGCCGTTTTTCCTGATGAGACAAAACACGTTGCTGAGGATGCGCGCGCACATGACCAGGTCCTTCTGCTCCTGCAGGTGCATGTGAAGGTGATGTAACACGACAGGCAGGAGAATGCACCTGGAATCTGGAGGGAGAGGCAGCGTCAGAGGCACGTGGGTCCAGCCCCGCAAGCCCCCCACGGCCCCCACCCACTCCTCCATGTGGACTGTTAACCTACTGACACGTGCAGTAAAAAGGCATTCAGTCTACTCAGGTGACACTGAACACCAGGCGTCCCCTTCCCCAACCCGGGATTCCCGCCTCCTAGGTGCTCCAAGCCTTTTACGGAAATCGTCTTCCTTAATTGTTTGCTTTACCTCCAGACATCTAGAGGGCACGCTACTCGAGCTATTCCCTGATTTTTCACTGAGACAGATCATCTGCCAGCTTCCCACTATGGTAGGCCAGATTCAGTTTATTTTATTCCTTTTTCTTCCCTCCTCCCCACCAGACTCTCAAGCGAGTTACATCACAATTTCTCCCGAAATGACCACCTTGGGTTTGTGGCCGTTCTGATGCCCAGCCCTTTGCAGATGGTTAGATTTTTGTTTGTTTCTGTTTCTCTCTCTCTCTGAACGCTTTCAGGGAATTATTTCCAGTAATTCAAAATTTCATGATTACGTGCGTTGCCTTGGCCCTTTCAATCTATAAACTCATGTCCTTCGGCTCTGGGAACTTGCCTGGAATTGCTTCTACGGCTATTTCCTTCTCTTTTAGTTTTTCTGCCCTGTNAATCTGCTCCCACAATTAGATTTTTGAAAGGAACAATTACAGTGGTGCTTTTTATTATTATTATTATTATTATTCTCCAGCTAGAGAGAGCATTGTAAAATTCAAAGAACAGTTGGTAGAAGAACAAAAAGTACAAGCCTCATAAATAGGAAAAAGGAGGCAGCTGTTATCCGGGATTGCAGTAGAGCGAAAGCCACTCCTCCTGCTGGTGTCACCGGGAGGCTGGGTGACAGCCGCGGTACTGAGAAAACGAGGTACACGCCGTGGGGACCGCACGTTGTGGGGACCGCTTTTACCCATGGTGCGTCTGCTGGCTGGGGGCCCTATTCCTGGAAAGGCTGCTCAATGCTCAGTGTAGGACCGCATGCAAAGTCTTCCTAGTCAGACAGCCCGCTCACGATGAGAAAAGGATGAAGAAATATGGCCGATCTTCAGTGGCCACGGAGCACTGACCTTGTCAATGACCAGAGCGTATTTCTCACCGTAAAATTCGTTGTAACAACAGCAACAGAATTATTACTTCTGCAGTAACAATAATCTTCCCATGATGGCTGTTGCTACCACCATTACTCATGGCTGAAATTTACTGATATTGTTTCCACATTTTTACAGATTTGATGAAATCCTCATACAAACACGGAGGTCACTACAATTATTTTTCTTTATTTCAAAGACAAAGAAGCATGAACTTAGGGAAATTGGGCAACTTGCCCAAGTAGCAGAGAGGTTTCAAACCAGGGCTGCCTGAGTCTTGTTAAAAAATGTCTCAAAGCACAAAAACAAAGATGCCAGACAATTTCAGTGCATGTTTCCTACCAGACTTCATCTCACAAACCTTGAGACAGCTGGCTTTTCACACAGCAAGGGGCCCAATAGAGCTACCTACCCAGGGGAGGTTTTCTCTTTCTGTGATTTTCCTAAAATTTAGAACGCTGGACCAGCACCCTCCCTGCCCGACCCCAAATCCACCCACAAACCAGGCTCACTGTCTTCTCAGGTGTCTTAGTTTGCACTGATTAGTACACTGAGAGGCCATGCAGGCCCCAGAGAAACTGGCACATGACAACTCCATGGGTGGCCACGAGGCAGTCTGAAACATTGTTTTAGCTTTTGACTCTGGGTGGTCTTTAACCACATGCCGTGTTTGCTATGATTCTGTTTGCTGGGCGGCTGTACTTTTAGAACTCTGTTAGAGCTGTATTGCCAGGAAGCAGTTAAAATATTACATTGAAACCATAACGACAGGGACTTTCTTCTGCATTTGGGAAGATGGAGTAGATACACTTGTCCCTATTCCTCCTGTTAAGTACAACTAAAACCCCTCGGGATTGCACATAAAACAGAAGATGAGCCTGAAAGGGGGAGAGAAGATAGCAGGCTGGCTAAGGACCTTGGGATGAGGAAGGACGTGATGCTGCCTCTTCTGGGTTTTCCTTTGTTCTCGGGTATCTCACACCTGGAGCGCAGGAAGCTGGACTCCCTGAAAGGCCAACGATTGCAAACAACAAAAATCCCACCAAAAGCCTCCTCTCTGTGGCCAGTAAACCAGGAAGGGGCAATTCAGCGAGGCTAAACTTTTAACAATAGCTATTCCAACTGCACACCACAAAAAGCTGGCCTTACCCACACCTGCGAGGCCAGGTAAGGAGCCCAGACATTGACCCTCACGAGGCTGTGATGAGTCACCCCAACTCCTCTCTGCAGATGGTGTCACAGAGAGCCAAGCAGGGCCAGGTACTTTCATGCCTGCTGGTCAGCATCAGCGAGGACAGTGTGGGAGCCTGAACTCCTGCCTCCATCTGACTGTACCAGCGTGGCCCCTCCCTACCCCCGGGCCACGTGGGGTCACACAAAGCCAGCTAAAATGACGGTTTAGACAACATTCAGAGTCTTACAATACAGAAGGTCCAGATTTCACTGGAAAAATCACTCCTCAAACCATGAACCAGGAAGATGTCACACTGAATGGAGAAAGACAATTAACAGATGTCAACATGGAGATGACAGAGGTGTTAGCATTAGTGACACAAAATGAAAAATGAACTCAAAATGGTTCGTGGACTTAAATGTAAGATATAAAACTACAACACTTACAGGGGAAAAAAACTAGGAGATAACCTTCAGGATATAGGGCTAGACGAAAAGAGCTCTTAGACAAAAAATAACCCATAAAAGGGCAACAGGAGGGATTCTTGGGGTAAAGGAAATACTCTGTAGCTTGATATTAGTTTTTACAAATGCATGTGACTCTACAATTATTGCAAAATGAAAACTTCACTTAAAAAACCCCAAAAAAATTGAAATAAAAAAAGCCACACCTTCCAACTCATAATGAACTGCAGGGGCACCAGAAGCCAGCCTGTGAGTCACGGGCCATTTTACACGTGACATCCAGCAGATGACGAGAAACGAACTTGCTTGATCTTCTTTTCTTTAAATGTACAGTGATTACATATATTAGGAAGTTTTTCCATACTATTTTTAACCTTAGTTTATTAAAAGAAAGAGTTTAACTTTACTTTCCAAACCCCGAGCTTGGTTGCCTTAGCTCTGAAAGCAGAGGAATAAAGTTCAACACAAGATGACCGCCCAGAAACATCCAACTTTGGCAGGAGAGCCAAGGTGGATTTTTACTTTTTAAAGTAAAAACAAAAATTATTTTCTTATCAGGATCTAGGCAAATGTTCTTAACACACTTTTTGTTTTGTTTTGTTTTTAAGCTGAGCCATCCTGCTACTTGTTGGCAGTTCAGCGGCTGCTCAGCTCGGGCTGGGAATTGAACCGCTGTTGCTCAGAGCTCAAACTTTTGAGCAAGCTCTTAACCAACTGAGCCACTCAGCCGGCTAGGCAAATGTTCTTAAAACAAGGGTTCTATAGTGCACTCTTAGTAAATATAATGGTAAAAAAGCTGGTATTTTGTTAAGTAGTCTATATGTGAAAACTATAGCATCTACTGACATTTCTGAAAATAATATTTAGAAGAATATTCTTAATTAGACCTAAAGAAACATTTTTGGTCAACTGAGTTTGAGTTTTAAATGGAAAACCATCCATCCATCCATCCACACACATCTCTCTCTATATATATACACACATACAAACACTAACATATACATATACAGTCAGATGTTATTCCTTAATATTTCACATAAATCACATTATATTAGACTCATAAAATAGTCGAGCTTGAAAGCACCTGAGAAATTACCATGCCAAACTTTTTCATTTCATAGTTGAAGAAACTGACGTCCCCCTCATACCCAAATTCAGATCCTTCC